CCTTGTTAATTATGGATACTGTCCTATGACCACTGGAAGAATATTTCAAAATATCTCAAAAAAACTAAGTTATAGCAGATATGCTTTTTCGCCACTGGAGAGGGTAGCTTATGGACAGAGAAGAAAGATTTGTCATTCAGATCGCTGAAATACTTACCCACCAGGGGCATCTACAGGAGGGGTAAAAATGCAGGTGGTACTTGCAACTTCACAATCCAAGTCTTGTCACCTTGTACATGTGTACAAAGGTGTGGGGCCTCCATCACACTGCCTTCTTGCCATTTTCAATCTCCTTCCCCACGTCACTACTGGATCCACACTTTCAAAATTCTCTGTTTCCATTGATTCACCTCTGAATGATTGGGGGGGGGATTACCTTTATCCTAGAAATGGTGTTCTTATTTTCTCTTGCATGAAGCCCAAGGACGCTCAAATATTGAGGGGAAACAAATAGCTGGAAGGAACCGAAAAGAAAACCCATGTGGTTATGACACCAGTGGGGTTTTGGGTTTGGCAAATTGCCTTTTTCTCCCTGCCCCTGAGAAATTACAAATGCTTCTCTGAGTGAGACAAGATTGCTATCACCAGTGAATATTGTTTATGTGATCTCAAAAATAGAAGAGGGACATTCTAGACCTCTACCACGGAAATGATATATGCTACTATTTTATACTATTTTTTCATATCCTACATGGGAATAGGGATTCTAAGGTTTGATTAGACCACCAAGATAGACCAAATGTGTGTAAACATATCTGATTGCTCATTATATTATTTAGAAAACTTACATGACACTTGCTGTCTTAAGGTGGCTTACAAGGTACAGTAAAATCATAACTAACACCCATTAAAAATAAAGCAACGATTAGTAATAATTCACAAAACCTAAATCAGAAGCTCCATACACAAAAAGCTTGGTCTTCAACTGGGAAGACGTGTACTCTTATTTGTCTTAGCATAGTATTAAAGTTTATTTTATGGGAAGGAGTTCATAGGTAAGTTCTAATAGATTTTGTAATGATAGGTAGCAGACAATATGAATTCTAGATCTCCAATAATTCTAGTTTTACCAATACATTTGTGATTAGTAGCTCAGAATTTCGGGAAACCCATGGTTTATGGCCAAATACAATTTTCTCCAACCCGGTACCCCACAGATGCTTTTATACTTCATGCAATTCTTCACTGCAAAGAATTCTACAAGCTGTAAAATCCACAAATCTGGAGGTTATCCAGGTTGGGTGATGCTGGCTTAACATTATGTGTGCACCCAGCCAATTGGGTTTATTCAGCCAATTATGATTAAGCAAAACTGGGCTCAGCGTAATGGGTGAGCTTAGTCCCAGATTTTAACCCAAAGCAAATCTTAAAAAGGACTTTATTTTGACTGTAGCCAGTCTTCAGAGCACCCCTAACAAGGGGCCTCCTCTTAAATATGCTTGTGGGTGTGATATTTCTTTTGTTGTTGCTGGCCAGAGTCGCTATCTCGTTTCATTTTTTTATTCTGATTGTATATTTCTTCTTTGTTTTTTATGTTGTGAGCTGCGCGCTCTTAATTTGAAGTCAGGTGACACCTAAACTGAATGAATGAATGAATGAATAAATAAATAAATAAATAAATTAAAACTTCACTGACAGTTGGGACATTTTTTTCCCTTGGTTTTTCATCCCTGCCTTCATTTCTTGCTTTTTATGTGTTAAAAATAAAGCCTCCTCTCTCTCACAGGGTATGATTCAAGACTTTGAAAGAAGACTGCGGTTCAGCAAACCCAAATTTTTGCAGTGGCGTATTTCAGAATAATGTATGAGGCTGGTGATCGTGTTTTAGAGGGCAGAGTTTCCTTGTTTTCAGCTGTGTTTTATACCAAATCCATCCTGTGTAATAAGAGTTTACATCACTGCCTGAGATCTTGGGAAAAAAGATTAAGGAAGGAACATTAGACTTCCCCAGGAAAACAGCCCTCAAAAGAACCATTACATATTTGATGATATTCTTATAGCTTAAATAAGTATTTCTCAAGAAAGAGTTGAGATGTTCTTCTCCCAGATAGTTGTACAGTTGATATATTTAACAAACTATGATGAGAGCACCATCAGCGTGCTTCTGAAGATGCCAGATTATAAACTTCTCTGTGGAATTATAAGTAAAAGACCTCATTCTTTTCTATAAAGGCTGGGCTCACACAATACAATACACACAAATCATTATTTATTATGATTTATTTCCATATATATAAATCATAATAAATACATAATAATACTGGCTTCCATAAAACGTTAAGGCAGAACAAACCAACCACATTACAGTTTAACACAAGAATCCGGTTTACATCGTACGGTTTGTTTAGTTTTGACTTAGCCACTGCAGTTTGGACATCATCATTTATGGTTTAATATGTTGCAAGAACACGGCCACCGTGTTATAATCTGCTTCCAATACTGTGCCTGTTTGATCCCTTCTATTGTCTACCAACAATATGTGAGCCACTCCATACACCAGAGGCACAACTGAGATTTACGGCATTCCACAGCCTGATGAAATTTATAGCGCCAATTCTCCACAGCAGAATAGGAGGCTAAAGACATCAACTGTTTCTGCTGAAAATATTTTGAACATTACATTGAGCCATAAACACCGGCTTGCAAACCATAGTTATTGAGTTCAGGGTGCTGCAGAGTGGGCGGAATGGGGAAGTGGTGCCACGTGTATCATGACGTTGCACCTATGATGTAAATTTATTATTTGTGTCATTTGCACAATGATGTCAATGATGCCTATGATAGGTATGACATCATCACGGCATCTATTGAACGCCTATGGTTGAGTTCCTACACCATGCTAAGCCAAAGCCAAACAAATCACATTATGGCTTAACATGTTATGTGAACGTATCCTAGACACATGGCTCATGATACTGAAACTGCCTCCTGATGTATTTGATCATTCTCTCTCTTTTTCTGAAATGCCCTTAATCGGTTTGAATGCATCACGGCAGTGTCAACACAAAAGGCCACTTACGTTACCATTCTTTTGCAATGTGTACATCTTGTAACAAAGTATTCTTTGTTGTTTTTCCTTGTGTTTGTATACATTTGAGAATCTTTGGGCCTTTTAAGGACTAATGTATCTATGAATCTGGGTGAGCTGGACAATCTGTCCTCATGGGATCCTTTTTCTCCCCTCTGCTCACACAGAAGAGTGGCCCTTTAATGAGGCCTTCAATGATCTTGCAAACTCTTAAAAGATGCTGAGAAATGTCTGTTCCCGTACCAGCTTCTAAGGAATACAGTCTTCTGTGTGTCACAGCTTACTACTCATAGACTCTTTGTGAAAAAACAAACAAACCACTTAACCCAAACAAGGAAAATCGAATCTCCTCCAAGTCAACCTCAACTCCTGGTGATTATACAGTCACTGACATGTAGCTTTCTTGGCAGCCACATGGAAGCAGCTTGCTCTTATCATTGTCTGGGATGTTTTTCAACTTCCCAGTCTCGATTACAACACCAAAGGTTGTCCATCCAAGTACTAAGCAGGCCTGACCTTGCTTAGCTTCTAAGCCGAGACAATGTCATCCAGTTGCAAAGAAGAAGGAATTCAATCATTACTTCACAGAGCCTACTGAAAGGCACATCTCTCTTGATGCAAAGAAGAAAAGAGCAAAAACCTCACTTTTCTATGCCTTAGGAAGAGTCTTAGGCCCCAGCAAGAGTCTTAGTTACCCAGCAAGGAAACAATTAGTAAGGAGATACTGCAGCTGTTGTAGGAATTTATTCATTTTTCAAATGTATATATGCCCCCAACTCACTATACAAGTGACTCTAGGCAGCATTACCGATAAAAAAAACTAGAAGATCCTAGAAAAAAAATATAGGTTAAAAACTACAAAAGGTTAAAATTAAGCTAAAAAGTTAAAACCACAGTATAAACTAAAAAGGTGGAGAGAGCATCCTCAGGCCATCAGCCACCCCCAGTGCTGAGAACTCTGTTGGGTCCCCATGCAAGTTGGCAGAGCCAGGTTAGTGATTGGGGCTAACCCTTAGGGTGATTTGTTTGAGTTTGGCTTAGAATGCCACAAGAACCCAGTCACCATAGTTTGCAAATTGTATGTCATGCCTTATGACTTAGCATTTTGTTTTACTCAATCAGTTGAAGATTAGTCAGTAAATCCCAACTAATCGAATCATGGCTTAACATGATGTGCAAGCCCAACGGATGAGTTGGCACATTGTGTCAAGCCATAATAATGCTTGTTTGGCTTGACTTAGCATGTTGTGTGAAGAGTGTGAAGGAGAGACCATGAAGTTTTGTTCATCAGAACCTTTTTGAAAAACCATTCTCTTAGAGGGTCTCTAAGCAGGACCCTCTCAAATTGTAGTGGATGTTTAAAATAACCTCACCATTTAAAAACAAACATTACCTTCCACTAAAAAACCACCAAGGAAGGAAGGAAGGAAGGAAGGAAGGAAGGAAATCCATTGCAACGTGACCATTTTCACTTTGTACTGCCAACACACCCATTATTGTTAAGCATGGATCCTGGCCATCAAAGGTTACCCATACCTTTTTTGATGAGAGTTCTATTCCCTCAGTCTAGGCTCAATAATTTCAGACCATTTCTCTATGTGCTCTCCGGTGTACTCCATAAATGTGCAAACTCTCCAGCAGGGGCATCAGCAGTCAAAAAAGTCAAGATGATAACTATGAACATCCAGTCATGGACACCACCTTGATTTTTCTGAATCCTGACAATGCCACCTCCCCAGATGGGCACCCCTGCTCTCCAGCCTTCTGCAAACTAGATCAATCTGCTTAGGCTTGGAGTATGCAAGGAGTAAATTGCCTAGAGACTGATTGCAGGTCAAAGGAATAGACTGGGTAATGTAAGAAGAACTGTAGTCAAATCTGTTGGACCAGGGTGTATGCTCCTATTCCACCTCCCATTCCATGGTACCCAGGATATTAAGTACTATAACCAAATGGATCTCTACTCACCCACCTGCTAACACACTGCAGTGCTCCATAGGGATCGCTGACTTCAGAGGATGAGCTGGGCTGGACCTCTTACGCCTGATGAAATGCTCTTTCCCATTGAATGAGGATTCAGTCCCATTGACAGGCTGTATCTCCACCTGTTCTAATCCAATCTGGATATAGCCAACCTGTCCACCAAAACAGAAAACCACCTAAAAGTGAATGCTGTGCCAAAATTTGTCATTCCAGTTCTCCAAAAGCTATTCCCTAAGCATTTGGCTTCTACATTTCTACCATGTTTTCAGAGGCTTAGGAATTTCTAATTTCTCTCAGAGACTCTTTTGAGCTTCCTTGAAGGTGGAGGAGTACGCTATTGTTGGTGCTATTTTTTTCTCACACCTCTTTCAATCCTTCTGAAGCCTCTCTTTTGACTCACACCTCCCAATGTAGGAAAACAGAGATGCCCTCTCCCGTGGTCTTTCCTTGAGAGCAAATGGAAGTGTGAGAAGCTAGAGATGCTGGACTGCTGGAGAGAAGATTGTGCAGTGAAAGAATCTACAGAAGATTGGACATTCACACATTCTCCTTGGCCATCTCATTGCTACAGAAGTGCCAATGCCTCATTCCACCTACACAAATTTCTCCATTCTTTTTCCTTTTGACCAAAGAAAATGAAAGTTATTTGAAAAGCATATTAGCTGGCAGAACAAATGGATTTTTTTTTTTTTGCATCCCATTATTTAGAATAACTTGAGATTATGTCTGCCCAAAATGTTCCATGAGCCAGCAATCAAGAAAACAAGACCCCTTCTGCAAAGACAAAACATTTCTTGTTACATTGGAAACACTGTCTAGGAAGCCTTGTGATCTTCATGGGCAAATGTCAAGACTTTAGACCAGTGGTTCCCAACCGTTTCCTTTATGCAGATATTTATCAATTTAATGCTTATCAGTAAAATGGTTAAGCAGAACATTTAAAGGACACTCCCAGTTGAAAACATCTGATAAAAGTCACCAACCCATTTCTGGATCCCCATGTTCCAATTATCCACTGTGCAAAGATCACCATGTCATTATTTAAACCCCAAGAGTATATATTACATAAAGATATTTGTGAAAAAAAATTACATCTATGTCACATTATTCATGGTTCACAAGAAAGCAGACAATAAAGTCAACTGAAACAGCATAAAAACGTTCACTAGCTAAACTAAGATGACAAACATACCTACGATACCACTCACAATCAGCTTAGGCCACAAAGACACATTGGAAAAGCAGTTTGCTACAGGCTTGCAAGATGCAAGAACAGATGGAGTCAAGTCTAACTCTAAGGGAAATACATGAGTACCTGAGATTATTAAATCATCTTCCCCCCACCCCTACTACAACCCTCCACAATACCCTCACATTTTGGCCACTACAAATAGCACAAGATATATACCAGTTTTAGAGTTTCTACAAAATCCCAAGAGTTCTTCAGTACCAAAGGATGTAGGATGTTCATCTCTCTCTCTCTCTCTCTCATTTTACTCTTAGCTTATGCAAACCCACTATATGGGTATAGAGAAGAAAGCGAGAAATATAATATTCATTTAAAGGGTTCTATACTGGCCAAGCTGTTACCCAAATAAACTCTCTGGGATATAGAACAGCTGTCTGCATTAATGTGATTTACACTCTACATTACATGTGTTATAATTTATACAGGCCTACACATACAACACACATTCTTTGTCTTTGCTTATACCAGAGATGTGTCATTAACGTAGCATAGCTCCAAGCAGCCCATAAGATTACAAGCTAAAAGAGAGCCACTCTCTCCTCTACACTGCAGGAGTATTTAGCCAAAGCAGGAAATGTTTGGAAATGCAACGAGACTCTTTCCTGGCATTCTAACTGCACTTTGGCATTCTAGCCAACCCATCTGATCTAAACCCTGTGTTCATTTTGGAAGTCGGTGACCGTAATCCTTAGGAATGGAAGCTGTAACCTTAAGGGCAACCCAGCAAGACATAATTGTATCATAATTGTAGTTGGGAACCAATGCCTGGGAAGAGTGTCTTACTAAATCCTTGGTACAATGGCTGGGTTCATACAACATGCTCTTCCTAAACTGAGAAAACCATCTTATGGGTAAGCACAAGGGTCAGTAATGAAGTATCTCTGATGCCACTTCAGTGTACATCCAATAATCAATCAATCAATCAATCAATCAATCAATCAATCAGGCTTACATTTTTTGAGACGACCAAAGGCTTCATACTAAAGGCTGTATCTCATTAGAGAAGCCCATTGAGCAATGTTGCCAGTCTCCTCGCAATGGAAGCTAGAGTTGATTCCGCTCAATGTGGCCAACTTTTATTTTCAGGAAAGACGACAAAAGGGCATTGTTAGCCAGGCCAGCAAACTAGACATATTTCAGTAAGAGCTCCATAAGTTTTCTGTTGTGGCTGAATAGCTGGAATTGGGAAGCGGGTAGCAATTGAGCATCCTGCATCTGTTAGACCATTGCATCTGCCTTCAACAGTAAGTCACACTTCATGCTAAGAAGCTCTGTTACAAAGATGCCCCATCTTAGACTCCAGCTTCTCCAAGTGGCTTCAAAGGCTTGAGCTAAGCCTCAGGAACCCTCCCCCAAATAGGACACAAGGGGGAAATTATTTAATGCATGGGGAACATATAAACAGACAAATTTTTAATTAAGTTAAATTTAAAATATTGCTGTGGCCCATCTGTTGAATTGCAGCCTCCATCATGCCACTCGAAGGGCCAACGTAGCCCTCAACCCAAAGAGATTTCCTAGGCTCCACAATAAAAGTCACTGCACTGCATTGATATGCACTGTAATACATTGAGTGGTTGTTTCTGTCAACTGTCAGCAGATGGCACCAGTGGGCCATCACTTAGCTTCTCTATGACAAATGCTTTAGCAGGAAAAAAAAAAAAAAAGGGGGTCTTGAGGGTTTGGGGAGGAGCTTTCTTAACATGCAGCTGTAGAATAGATAAGCAAAGACATGTTCCAAGGAATATCTGCTCTCAACATTGTTGTAATTGAAGATCCAAGAACAGGTGCAGACTTTGGTCATGTTTCTTCTTCAGAATATTCTGAAGTATTTCTTCAGAATATGTGTAGAGGGCTTACTTGACTGGACATTCTTTGCTTAGCTATCCACAAAGTGGGGTGGGGTGGGGTGGCACAAAGGCAGAGAATAAGCATAGAAATGTGCATGATGCCACTGCAACACCAACTCTGACCCTTGTTTACTTGTATGCGGTGCTATGACACCAGCAAAAAAGAGTGGACCTCTGCTGCAATGGCATGATATTTTGATGGCATCACTGTTTTGACCCCATGGTGGACACCTATGATTCCTTGTAGTTGGAAAGCAAGCACGTCATTGAAAAAGCAAAGGAGGACCTGCTTCACACCTTTGGATTATATGACATCAAGTCAATGCCAAACCTTAGTGGCCACATAAATTTTCTCCAGAATGATGCTCCACACATTACACTAAGCATTATATTTTCTTTGGTTTTCGTTTAACATATCTGTAGTTTACGGTTTGGTGTACTGTGTGAACCCAATCAAAAACTTTCTTCTAAGAAAGGTAGTTTTCTAAGTGAATGAAATTATACGTACAGAGAAATACGATCTCTCCCCAGAGCCTGAAGAGGCAACTCCAGACAGGAATAATCTATGGGAATGAGACCTCCCACAACTTTTTCTACTGTGCCATTTTTCTAGAGAGTACAATTAAATTTAAAACATGCATAAGCCATATTAGTACAGCAGTTATCCATGATTTACTGTATCATACTTTCTCTCAATAATTCTGTTTCCTAGGTTTATATGAAATACTGAGCCAGAAACAAAGGGAAAAGTTTGAGTTCATGCAACACACAAGGCTAAAATATGATTACTTAATTTGTCATGCCAGTAAGGTCAATTCTTCTCTGAGTTGACCTCAACTTCTGGTGACTTCCATGTATTAGAGGATTAATATGATGAAATGGATGGCATCATAGTGCCATACAGCTGGCTTAGAACCACTCACTTAATCACCATTATTTCCAGCTCATTCCTATATGCAAATAACAGGTGCAGGGAGAGAGGAAAAAACAGGGGCAGCCTAAGGTCATAATATGGCTCCTGGGCACTACCCAGTTGGTTGCCTTTGTATCTTTCTTTCCTCATTACCAAGGCAGTTAGTGCTTCTGGCAAACATCTGGATCAGCCTTCCTAGAGCCTACAGCTGGCCCAAGTCAGAAGATTATGTTCTCTATTTCACGTCTAGTAGTACTTTTCAAGATGCGTAGTCCTTCCTTCATCTGTTCTCTGCCAATGCTGATGCAGTTAGTAAGGCTGGAAGAAGACCAGCAACAGGAGCTAGTCCATGTTTCTAGCTACAGTGGTTAACTCGTTGCGTAGCCCATGTTATTTTATTTATGTACGGTGCACAGATGTCATAAGTATAACTGCTCTTCACAATCATGGCTTTATTCTTCCCCAGATGGAATTCCTATTAAAAATTACACTGACTCTTGGAAGAGAAAGGAGGGCCAAACAACCTACTTATCACAGGGGAGGTATTTTCAGATCAAGGAACGCAGCAAGCCAGTGTCCTTGGATTTTCTTATTTCCCTCCCCAGCTTTCTGTGACTGAGGCTGATTGCATACAGAAGACACTACGCTACAATACCACCACCTCAAGAAGTGAAGCCAGAGACGCCAGAAGAACCCTGTTAGCTGGGATGGATCCAACAGGCAACCTGGCAGCTTTGAAGCTTTAGAAGGTCAAGGAATATTTCAGAAAGATCCATGGTGGATCTATAACCCCAGAGCCAGAAGTAGAAAGAGTTGCTCAACAGCTCTCTCTGACACTTGATCCACTGGTGGTTCACAAATTGAGCTAATCCATGGTTTAACTGCTGCGCTGAATAAGCCACACTAGGTTGTGTTCACATACTGCCTGGGTTTGGTTAGTTTGTTGAACATACCACAACTGGCCAGGTTTGTACCTCAAACTAAACCATAAAACACAGCTTGCCAATGAGTAGCACTGGGTTTGTATACCATTTGAAGCTGAAACCACATAAGACAGTTTTTGGAGTAACATGTAGTGTGAACCAGCTAGCTTCCTACACTAGTTTTTATGATCCAGTTCTGTTTTTGTTTGTTTAGCCAAAAACATGACAAATGCAAAAGAAACCCTTATGTACAAGATATTAAAAAGATGCCAAAGAAGTCCTTATTTACAAGATATTGAAAAGGCATTGAAATATACTTGCTTAGTCCATTTATAATTCTGCATTACAAGGTTTGCTAGCAGAGTGCATAGCGCCCCTCTTTCGTGCCTGCTTCCCTGTCTCAGGCAATCAATGTTACTACAGATAAATTCCCACCTGTCTGCTGTTTTCTTTTCTTTTTTAAAATGAGAGCTCTTTCTCTACACCCATCGGTGTACTTCTCTGCTGGCAGTTTTGAATACTCAGCAGTTCATGACTGAGATGAACAAAGGAGGAAAAAATGTTGACAGCTTTTCAAAAGGGGAAGCAGTAGGATCACTTCTAAGCCCCAAGAAACTTTTGGTGGTAAGCTCCATTTCTAACATCAATCACAGGGCTGCTGGGATTCCATTCTCTGGTTGCAGGTGCTCACCTAAGGCAGAACATATATCTCTGTTCTTAAGCTCTGTCATCTTTCCAAACTAAACTCCGCTCAGCTTTTATCCCAAAGGGCAAATGAGGCACACAGTATAGGTATGGAAAGGACAGGGAGGGTCCTACATAGAATCATACTATAAGGTTTAGCTTAGAAATGATCTAGTCCAACCTCCAGCTCAGTGCAGGAATCCACTACACAGCAGAAGGACCTCCAGCCTCTGAAATATTCCCAGTGAAGAAGAGTTCACCACTCATGCCCAAGAGAGCCTTTTCCATTGCTGAACAGCTCTTAGCATTAGGAATTTTTCCTGATGTCCAACCATAATGTACTTTGTGATTTAAACGCAGAGTTTCTTGTCCTATCTTCTCTACATAGGCCTTTATAGACTTGAAGACAACTATCATGTCTCCCTGCACTCTTCTCTTTCTCAAGGCTAAGCATAACCAGTGCCTCCCATCATTCATCATAATTTTTTCTTTTCTGCCTCTTGGTTGCTCATCCCTGAACACCCTCAATACTTCAGTTGGTACATCCTATGACTACATTTGCTTAGGACTGCAAATCATAACTTGGTTTGTTTGATTTTAGATGTTGTATAAATCTAATGTGATTTGTAACCCATGGCTCATGACTTAGCCTCTGTGCAAAGCCAAACAACTGTGGTTTAGTCAAAAACTATAGTTAAGCCAACCATAGTTTACTATGCTATGTGAATCCACTCTGTAAGGAATTCCAGCCACATCTACTTTCTGAAATTCTGTAAGAAGGTTAACAGATAAGATTTAGCTGAACAAGGCATGCAAAGTAGAGCTCATTCCTCGCTATGAACTACTCAAATGATACTGCAAAAGAGATCAGCCCCCCTGTGAAGTGAGGGATTTTCTCATCAATTGTGTAGGCCATTAACTATCACACCTGTTCTTCCTCAAAAACTACTGGGTATTTATCAACAGTAAGGTTTATAATTTCTCTGATAGCCCCAAATGCAAAGGATCTGTAAGCGCCAGTAATAAAAAGCAAGGAGCAGTAAAAAAAAAAAAAAGGGCAGGGGACTAAAATTAAATATACAGAAGACCAAACTAATGACAACAGGTACAACAACCAGCCTTAGAATTGACAGTGAAGATATTGAAGTGGTGGATAGCATCTGCCTTTTAGGATCAACGATCAACAGTAAAGGAACAAGAAGTCAAGAAATACACCATAGACTAACACTTGGTAGAGTAGCCATCAAGGCCTCAGAAAAGATATTCATGATGTGTCTGTACCTACAAAGATCAGAATAGTGCTGGCAATAGTATTCCCTGTGACACTCTATGGAAGAAGTTACTTTGAAGGAGTATTGACATTTCAAATCTGGTTTTGGAGAAGACTCCTGAGAATTCTATGGATAACCAAGACGACAAACAAATGGATCGCTGAAAAAAATCAACCCAAAATTCTCACTCAAGGCACAAATGACCAGGCTCAAATTATCATACTTTGGACACATTATGTGAAAATCTAGCTTTCTGGAAAAGCATATGATGCTGGGAAAGAGAAGAAAAGAATGACCAGCAGCATGGTTGGACTCAATTACAGCAGTTGGAAGACCTGAAGGACCAGGTTAGGGACAGATCATTATGGAGAAAATCTATCTATTTGGTTGCTAAGAGTCAATACTGATTTGATGACACATAATCAATCAAGGCTGATAATGGCAAATATTCAGAAATTCAGACATAACTATTTGCCATCTTTGTCCTCAAAGAATTAGGGCCACTGTGGGTGGGTTTACAGTTCTTAAAGTGAGATGGTTTATTTCTATTACTTATATGCTGCCACAATCTCACATCTTTGGGCAGTTTATAAACCCAAATCACAAAACAACAAAAACCATAATACCTCTTTGTAGCAGCCACAGAAGAAAGCAGGACCAAATTAAAATTGCATACTGTCAATCAGACAGCAAGAAAAGTCCAGATGTGCTTTAAAGGCTTCTCAGGAGTGCCATGTTTAACAGCTTTCTCAAAGTTGACTAGAGTGGGGGCCAACCAAATCTTGGAGAGAGTTTGTTTGAGAGGGTTAGGGCAGTCACAAAGAAGCACCGCTTCCAGTCCCTTTCATCTACCAAAGTGAGGGCATGAACCCACTGCCTACAAATATGGAAGATATATATGGCAGACAGAGCATGGACAGAGACTCACAGCCCAGAGAAAATTTTAAATGGCACACACCCAAACTTTTGTGCCTTCCTGGATATTCTGTAATTTCTCACATATCTATATAATAGACAGAAGAAGTCACTATAGACCCAGGAACTGATGCTCAGAAGTGTCTTTATAGGGGAGGAAAAAGCAAAGACAACTGGCTAACCTAGGATTAAACTTACTGAACCACATCTGTCAGATTGATTGGGGAAACCCACAAAAATTATCCTATAGTAGCACAGGCATCTGGGCCTAGCCAAAATGGCACCATTTGCATACAGAGTATTATCAACTGATTTAGAAAATTCCAAAGTTTGCAAAAGAAGAGAGAAAGAGAATTCCTAAACCACTGAATAGAAATTGAATGTGGCCACTAACACGCTCAGTTTTCATCCAATAGTTTAGGAATTCTCTTTTTCTGCTTCTCTTTTTGCCTCCTGGCTGGCTGGCTAGCATCCTGAACAGGAGTCTCTACTTCAGTTTGTGCTTGCAAGTCCCCACTGTTTTGCTACAGAAATGTGGAAGTTTTCTGCCTAATGAAATGAACCCAACTTCTCCCCTGCCTTGTTCCCCTGAACCCTTGTCTTCATTCTACATACACCCACTCTCTGCCAGGCTGTGCCTTCCTCCACCCACCCACCCACCCACACCCTAATCACAGCAGGTTGATGCAGATAACTACCAGTCCGCCACAGGTGCTGAGCGAAGCAAAGGAGTCGTGACTATGGTTCAGCACATGGCCTGTGTAGAAGCAGAGCTGGTCTACAGCCTGACGTTGGTGGCTGCTTTGGTTCTGGCTGATTTCTTCTACGGAGAAATCAGGGGCCAAAAACTGGGCATCCTGGTGGAGCATCAGGTAAAGATCAAAGCTAGGATGAGGCCCAACACCTATGGGGAGGCGAATGAGCAGTCTGGAAGCTCCTTCCTCCAACTGTAGGGGCACAGAGCGTCGCCTCCGGGTCTTGTCAGGGCCACTCTTTTGGGGTTGCAGAAAATGGACCCTGTCAAGAGGAACCTGCTCCGGAATCACTATGGCCAGTTCTGCGACAGCTGCGAAGGACAAAGAGAAAGAAGGGTTGATATTGCAAAGAATGGTTGATATCACAAAGCATCCAGATACCCCAACTCCCACAATTAAAGCAACCATATACTTTCTTCCTCTAATTTGTTAACATTCAAAGCTCAGTAGGATCCAGAACTTATCTAAGCTGAACCCCAGAAGCTCTTGCCAGGGATCAAGGATGGAGAAGAGCCCCTGAGTAGATACAGAGGCTGGGTTCACCCAACATACTGAACCCTCAAGCCCATTACCCAAACACGACAGCTGTGTTGATATAACATGCTGTGCCCAAATAGGTCGACCATATAATGCTGTCCCACCAGGGCCTAGTTCACCCAACATGCTGCACCATAAACTGCCCATCGTCACTTTAGTCTAGCGTAATAGGTTGCATAATCAAATCAAATCTTTATGAAGGTCAGAGACAAGCATAAATATGTTGGATAAGTGCAGAGAAAGTCATGAGGCTGAGACAGGCAGGCTCTGAAGTCAATACCTGGCTGACATGACTTGCCCTAACATGCTTTGTTCTTTCTACTTTTATAGCCACTGGATGGACATGTGCTAACCAATGCTAGTTTTATTTCTGCTGTCTGTTTTCCTCCACCTGTAATATCCATGAGTTTTGAAAGCCTGCAGCCAAGTGACAGCAGAGCAAGTCCCTGAAGGATAACACTACAATCATTTAGCTTACATAGATAAATTGCTGGCAGGTACTTTGAAAACAAGTCCTAGATTGGTGTAGTGGTTAAAACTACTGGGCTAGAAACCAGGGGACTATGAGTTTGAGTTCTGCCTTAAGCGGGTGATCTTGAGCCAGTCTCTCTCTCTCTCTCAGCCCCAGAACCACTTCCAGAAAATCTTACCAAGAAAACTGCAGGAACTTGGCCATGTAATTGCCAGGATCCAAGATTGATTTGAAGGTATGGGTGTGCCTTCTCACACACAGCTGAGAACCGACTGAGAAAGTCTCAAGTAAAGTGTGAATCCTCATAACCACATGGATACATCCATGCAGTTTTCTTGGCAACAATATGGAAGCATATTGTTATGGAAGCAATATGGAAGCATATTTCCCCTTCTTCTGGAGTATGAGAGTGCGTATATGTTCATGTATTTACTTCCCTGTCTAGACCTCAGGGCTCACCACAACCTGGTGGGCAAATTGTGCACCACACAAGGGCGATGCATGGGGAGGGTGCCAGCTGCAAGTTAGAAATAAAATTCAATAGCTGCCAGGCATGGTTATATAGGAGACTGTCCGAGAAAGAGGACATACATTATTTTGAATATTGTAAAAAAAAAAAAAAATGGTTGGGGGGCACTAAGTGGAATCCCACACAAGGGTGCCTTGTATGCCAACAGTGGCCTTGTAGACCTTCTCCTGGGCTTTCTGGAGAACTTCCATCCTAGTATCTCCCAGGTCTGACCCTGCTTACTTCTTGTGAGACCCATCAAATCTTGCTATCCTACAATTGTCTTCACACACGAAGGATCCAACAGCATACTGTACAGTAGAACAGCTAACAGATACTCAGGTATACAAACACACATACATATATTTCTCAACTTCAGTTGCTCAGGGCAAGAGTAAGCACTGGGCAGTGGGAGGCTTCCTAGAAGCATGTAGCTGCTGGCAGTAAGAAAAAAAGAAAATGCTGGAGTGGAAAATCTTTAACGCTAACTGATTATATACCTGGCTTGTAACCTAGCATGCCTGTTAAATCGTGGGGCTTTTAAAAAAATTTTTTTGCAAAGCATTCCAATTTGGGAAACCTTAAAGGGCTTTGCTCTACTTGGAGATCTCAGAATTGCTTTTAACAACAACTGTATCCTGCATATGCTTCAAAGGACCTTTGGAGGTAGTCAACTGCTTTGGTTCCCAGACGCTTCTGGATGGGGGAATCTTATCCAACATTCTCCTGTTATTGTTGTTGAGTCAATCTTGACTCCTGGCGACTACACGGATGGCTCCTGGCAATTTTCTTGGCAACATTTCCCAGCCTAGAGCTGAAAGAAAGTGACTGGCCCAAAGTCACCCAGCTAGTTTCTGTGCCTAAGGCAGGAGTAGAATTCAGGTTTCCCTGCTCCTCATCCAAACTAGTTCTCTCCTACCAATATTCAGATATCTCCAGGGCAGCTTTCCCCAAATTCTGGTACTCCTCCCCAACAGATGAGGCTGGAGGAAAACAGACTGAGAGTCATGGGAGGTGTAGTCCAGCTGGGAAGTACCCCTCTCTTATGGGTCCTCATTCCCATCCAGCATCCTTGGAAATGTTCAGCAGGCTGCAGCCAAACAGGAAGACTGCGCTTTTCTACACAAACACACACCGACCACTTTTTAGCACAGCCTGTAGTGCCCACCCAGCCCATGATGCATCCTGGGAACTTGGAAAACTGGGCTCCTTCAGGTGAACCCCGATTCCGCGAGAGGCGTGAGAAGACAGGCTCGGTAGCGACAGTTGTAACTTTCCCGTTTGGCAGCGGAAGGGAGTGGAAGAGGCGGCCCCCCAACCCCAGGTAAAGCTGCTTCAGACCCCACCCGCGCAGAGGGACGGCGGATCAGACGAGCGTCGCAGAAGCACCTTTGCACCCATCCGGTGCTCTCGCTAGCAGCCCCGGCGCTGAAGACCGGGAAGGGAGGGGGCAGCTTTAAAGCGCTCCGCTGGCCGCCTCTCCTTCTGCATAGCAGGATATTCCAGTCTGGAAAGAGAGGCATCCTTTTTGGATAAGGCAAAAAAGGGGACCCCAGCCCTCCAGCAGAAGATGGGGGAGGAAATGGAAGAAGATACCGATAACCGCGCGTGCAGTTCGGCTTTCCAAAAGCCCGCATCTTGTTAGCAAGGCACAGGGGCTTTGCAAAAAAAGAAAAAAAGAGGGGGTCATCTTTCAAGATGCGTTTTACAAACGGCCCCCCGTGCAATTTCCCCCTTCCCGAGGGGCCGAGGCCACCAAGATGCGCCGGGGCGGGGAGGGAGGAAGAAGAGCCGAGAGTCCCCCTACCTGTCTCGGGACCCGGTTGGCCAAGGAGGAGCAGCGCAGCGAGCAGAGCGGGCGAGGTAAAGAACAGGAAGGGGCCGTCAAACATTTTATTGCAGTCGAGGGGCCCCAGGAACTGGGCTGCAGATGCGGGCAGGGGGAGGGAGGGGCCGTCGACGGAAGCAGCGGCGGC